CATGAGGCCGGAGCCGCCGCCCGCCGCCCGCCCGCGCCGGTGACGAGCCGCCGGGAGGTCGCGCTGCCCCCGCCGCGGACGCCCCGGCTCCGCCGAGCCCCCTCCTTCCGTCGGCGCTCGGGCTCACCGCCCCCCGGGGGCGTTCCTGCGGTGCCGCGGGCGGGGGGAGGCCCGGTCCCGGCGGGGCTTTTCCCTGAGAGTGAGACAAGCACCAGCGCAGGGAGCTCCGGCCGGTGCGCGGCCGCTGCGGGTCCGAACGTGGGGCTGCTGGCGTCGGGAGCGCCGGGCTGTGACAGACGCGCACCTGCCCGGGCTGGAAGCGCCTGTCCGCGTAGCGGCCGCCCCTCGGGGTCGGACACACTTTGTGGGCATAAACATTTTTTAAACTTTTTTTAAGAACTCGTTTTCTGGGATTTTTATAAGCCACCCTGTAGTTTGCGTTGGTTTTCTGCTTCTCCCGCTTCAAGGTAGCGTTTGCTCTGTTCTTCCTGGTACTGTAACACGGGGACCTGAACGGAACTGACATTTTAAGTACTCCAGGAACCCTCCGGTCCATCCACCTGTTAAAGCGAGCAGTTGTGCTTCCTTCTTTCTTCTTTTTTCCCCGTGTCGCCTGTTGGATGTGATGGAACTCATGTTTGCGGAGTGGGAGGACGGGGAGAGGTTCTCCTTCGAGGACTCCGATCACTTTGAGGAGGACTCCCTTTGTTCCTTCATCTCAGAGGCAGAGAGCCTTTGCCAGAACTGGAGAGGATGGCGGAAGCAATCGGCCGGACCCAATTCTCCCACTGTCAAAATGAAAGGTGAGATCGCCTGGCATCCTCGGGTGTGCTGAGGACACGTGGTGGCAGGGGTATGAGGTGCTGGGGGTGAGGAGAGCCACAGGGTGCTGAAGGTGTGAGCAGAAGGCAGTGTGGGATGGCTGTGAGGGCAGCTCTGACCGCAGGCTGAGATGAGAGTTTATGTGGGATGTTAACACAAAGCAGAGTTTTGGATGAGTTCTCACCTGTGTGATCTCAGTCATACCGTAGTGCTGCTTTTCTGAGTACGTTTTCTGAACTTGCTGTTGGAAATCTGAAAGTAGCCTTTGGGAACCAAAGAACAAACTTGTTCAGGAATAGTTATACTCACATTGGGTCCTAGTTGCATTGACTAAATTAGACTGAGGTATCATAAAGGTTCTTATAACTGCTATACAACTTCACATGTTTGTATAGAACAATCTCTTTTTCTTACCTGTCTCTGTAATTTTCTCTTATTTCTATTAAAAAATGAAAACATTCTTTTGTAGTAGTAGAGCGAGAAGGCCTTGTGACTGTGACAGAGGGGCAAGCAAACCACCATGTGTCTGCTTCGGAAGAGTTGCTTTATTTCCTTTCTTCAGACAGTTGGTTCTTTCTAATAGTAGACAGGAAAAAGGCATTAGGAATTAAAGAAAAAAAAGAAATCTTTAAAATCACTGTATAGCTGCTGAGTTAGTGCTAAGAAGTTGCACGAGTGTTTCCTACTCTTCCTTTCATCTCCTTTCGTTTCTTTCAGTCTGGTGTCAGTGCTTTCCCTGTTACTACTGCCCTTTGCGACCATAGCTGCCTTGTTACTGCCTCCCTGACTGAGCTGTAAAGTTTTGTTCTCTTCTGAGTGATGGCCTTATGCTGAGAGTTCAATTAATAATGAGTTGTGCTAAAATCTGGCAGTGTTATGCTATGAACAAACATTCACTTATCACTAGGTTGGGACTAGAAAGTACACTTTGCATTAACCACAGGCTTTTCAGAGCAGCTTAATTTTTAAACTTTTAGTGTATGTGAACTGTCCCTAGTCCCAGATATGGAACTGTCTGCGTCTCTTGACTGATTAGGTGTAGAGCTAAGGATTGCATGGGCATTTAAAAGAAATTAATTAAAAGAAGAAGATAGAAAAATGCTGAATGCACATCCAACTTGGATGGCTTTTGGTATCCTGGTCATACTGGCAGGATGTGTGGCTTTCCCTATGAAACATCCTATTTTATGCAAAGAGGATGGATAGTGTTGGAATTAGCTTTCTGAAGCTGTGAATCTGGAGATGCAGAACTAAGGGTTGGGCACGGTAAACTTCATGTTTTGCTTGAAGTCTTGTGCTTAGTAATGTGCTTGCAAGGAACTGAGGTTTTGAAAACATGCTGCTGTGGAAAGACTCTAGTTCAGCAGAGGTGTATAAAACTGGTTTGTGTGAGATCTGCCGGTCAGACTGGTACTTGAACAGGTGATTGGTTTTTAGTTGCATGATCTCCAGGGCTTTGGTATGTGATTTTGTGTTTTCCTGGGCCCAGCCCAGTACCTTTGGCTCTCTTGACCAAATTGGACAGCAAACAGCAATTGCTTCTCTATTGGCATCCACTTGTTGCGTATTAAAATGAAAAATCGGTTCAGTAGATTGTGCATTTTTGAAATCTTTGGTGTCTCACTTGTCATGGGAAACAGAACAGCTGACATGATTGTTGTGATAATTGTAATAATTTACACCTATGGTGATGTTGCTGTTCGAGGTTCTGCAGACCTCTCAGCCTGTGGAGGCAAGGGTGGCATTGTTTGTACTTAATTCATATTTTTAGATTTTATCTGCAGAGAGATCTAATTCCTTTGTAAAAAGTTTTGGCTGTAACGTGGGGATATCTTGAGAAGTGCATGAGCATGGATTTGTTGCCTAAATAATTACTTATCCACTCTACAGATTCATGCATAATACCGTTGACACAGAGCTCTTGCAGGTACTTTTCTGTATGCAGTGTGTTGCCAGTGAGCCTGGGCTGACTTGGAACCTTTCATTGTCTGGAATCTGCTTGGATTTCAGGAAACTTGTGCAGATCTAACTATTTTTAACACCTCTTTGTGACATTGTTTTTGTAGTCAGAAAAAGCAACATCGAGAACTTGCCAAATCCTGGGCATGTTAGTCATACTGAGTCTTCTAAAGTGTGGTAGTTCTCAATTCAGCCTGTGTATTTTTTTATTGACACGGTTTACCATTTTGTAGTAGCCTGTGATGTAGCTTCCTACATGAGCAAAAAATGAGGTTAGATGCAGAGTGCTTTGATTTAAAATGCGAAGGGAAGCCAAGAGGAACTACATTCTGTGAGCTTTTTCCTCCAGTCAGGCAGCTCAGGCTGTGTTTTGATTTGGGATCAGTCAGATGGGTTATGTAACACAGAGGATTTCTAACTTTTTGTTTTGAGTTTGTCTCTGTGAGAGTCCAATTCGTCATTAATTAATTGAAAGAGAATCCTCTTGAGACTGAGGGAAGTGCTGCTGGCTGGGGATTCCTCTTCTTAAACAAACGAACAAACCACCATCCCCACCACTTGCAGGCTTTTTAAATTTTGCAGCTTTTGCTTTGTGCTCAAGTGTTTTTATTATTACCATTAATATGGTTCTTTTTCTTTCATTTAATTTTCACTGAGTTTATGGTCAAGTCTTCTTACGTTACTTTCTATACAAGAGTATTCTCTTCAAATGTAGAACTGATAGTGTGAAGGAGAAGCCCATTGCGTCTCCTTTATGGATGCCCTTGGATTTTGGCTCTTGTCGGTTTCCACTGATTCACCTGTGCTGAAATCCCAGAGGAAGTTTCAGCAAAGCATGGCTATTCTGGGGAAACCAAGAGTCGTTTTGAACTTTTATTTTAGAAATGCCTTGTTTGGATAATGGACTGCCTTCATTACTTGCTTTTACCTATCTTTTTTTCTTTTTTGAATGAGATAATGCTTGTAACTGATATTTGCCTGTATACATCATTGATGAGACATGCAGTTGTACTTGCTGAAGTAAGTAATGGGCAGACATTGCTCAAGTCATTGTGAGTAGATGTTTTGAAGAACAATGTCTTTGCGGTGTTTTCAGAACCATCTGCTTCCTCAAGTTGTTTTATGGCTCCAACTCACTTTCTTCTAGTCAAGTTACATTCCACCAGTGTTTTGCATTTCTACCAATGAAAGCACCCTCTTCACGTTCTCTCCAATTTTCTAGATAGACATTTGCTTCCTGGAATCCATTATTAGAGCCAGTATGGTTCTCTGATTTTCCTTCTCACTTTTAGAGTACTTGCATTTTTCACTGGCAATTGATGTAAGCCTGGTGGCTAGGGGAGCTGGACTTGTTTGGAGAAGAGAAGCTTGGAGAAGAGAAGGCTCTGGGGAGACCTCTCTGTGGCCTTCCTGTACTTGAAGGGAGGTTATAAATGGGGAGGGGAGATGGACTTTTTACACGGTCTGATAGCGATGGGACAGGGGGGAATGGCTTTAAACTAGCAGAGGGGAGATTTAGGTTAGATGTTAGGAGGAAGTTCTTTACTCAGACTGAGGCACTGGCACAGCTGCCCAGTGAGCTGTGATGTCCCATCACTGGAGGTGCTCCAGGCCAGGCTGCATGGGACCCTGGGCAGCTGTTCTGGTGGGGGGCAGCCCTGTCCATGGCCAGAGGTTGGAACTGGGTGATCTTTAAGGTCCCTTCCAATCTAAGCCATTCCATTACTGTGTACCTCCAAGGGTTTTGTTATCAGTTATCTTTAGATCTCCAAACTCACTACTGTGGCTTTGCTTCTTCCTCAGAGCCTCTGTTTTCCCGCCCTTAGTCTTTTACAGCTTCTGAAGAATCGGTGTTTACCAAACACTTAAAAAATTGCTGCAAATACTGTAGGGTTGGTAAATAGTGTGTTCACAATATTTTCTGTTTGGCTTGTATTTATTCATTCACGTCTACAGAAAATGTGATGGTGAGTTGCATTGAAATTACACTCAGTAGGCACCTGGTCGTAAAGCCTGATCTTTTGTTTCCTTCCGTCAAGCATTATGTACTGTGCTCCAAAAAAAAGCCTTGGGCTAAAGTAAGAATGATTCAGGCAGTCATCTCCTGAAAATATTCTCATTATACAACCTAAAGAAGTTTGTATACTTCCAAACTGTTAGGAATGCCCACCATGTTAAGTAATGGGCACAGTGCCTCAAAGTACAAGCTGTAGCGAGGGAATGATTGGCAGAGGGCAGACAGAGCCTGAGGTGGAGATGTGATCGGTTTAGGGAGGCAATCTGGTAGAAGTCTGAATTGTGTCTTTGAGGTAAAGTGACGGTGGCTGATTTTCATTAATTTATAAGGACAAACAATAAATGGCTTAGAGAGCAACACTTCTTCCTCAAGATTGCCAGTTAGAACTCAATAAATTAAAGTTAAACCCTTTCTCAAAGAGTTATTGCAGTAGCAGACATGAAGAGAAACAGGTAATCTCTTTCGAATTTATATGGTGTGCTCTTTAGACTGCTCTTGGAGGAGAGTGTTGGTGTCATATGGAGTGCCCACTCAGAGCCTGAGGAAGCTGGAAATGAACATTGTGGTTTGCTCTTTTCTTGCTGTTACTGTGTATTGGACAGCTGCAGTTGATTTATTATTTTTTTTTTCTGCTGCTTTTGTGCCTCTGGTAGGGAAAGGGGGAGGTTATGTCTGTATTTCTGGGAGATACAGATGTAATGCATCTTGTTTGGTTTTTCTTAGTGTGATACAGTGTAATCTCTTTCAGCCTAAATACCTCCTTACAGTATATACAAGTCCACTGATAATGTTAAAAAGCCCCAAACAATAACTATTGTACTGAAGTATTGTACCAGCTGCCTATTGAGTTCTTCATAGGAATTAAAAATCTGAATGTTAGTGACAGGATATTGCAAATGCTTTATGAAATGAGCAGAGCTCAGCTGTCCACTGAGGAAAGATAACGTGACAGTGGAGGCTTAGCTGCTGGTAGGAAAAAGGTTTCTCTGTATTTTCTCACCCTAG